AAACATTAAGGAAGACATTTATATGAAACAGCCGCAGGGTTTCATATCTAGTGGAAGCGAACAAATGGTTTGTAAGCTTCAAAGGTCCATTTATGGACTTAAACAAGCTTCGAGGAGTTGGAACATTCGGTTTGATGAAACGATCAAAACGTTTGATTTTTATCAGAATCCGGATGAACCATGTGTTTATAAGAAGGTTAGTGGGAATGCAGTTGCATTTGTTGTTCTATATGTTGATGACATCCTACTCATAGGGAATGATATAGGAATGTTACAATCAACACGGACATGGTTGTCTAAACAGTTCTCCATGAAAGATTTGGGAGAAGCATCCTTTATCCTAGGGATAAAAATCTATAGAGATAGATTTAAAAGGATGATCGGACTATCCCAGTCTACGTACATAAATAAGGTACTAAAAAGGTTTAGTATGGAAGAATCCAAACGTGGATATATTCCAATGAGTCATGGGGTTTTACTTTCTAAGACGATGTCTCCAAAGACACCTGAAGAAAGAGAACGGATGAGTCATATACCTTATGCATCAGCTATTGGTAGCATTATGTATGCAATGTTATGTACAAGACCTGATGTTGCTCATGCGCTTAGTGTAACGAGCAGATATCAGTCTAATCCAGGTGAACAACACTGGAAAGCCGTTATGATGATTCTTAAGTACTTACGAAGGACTAAGGATATCTTTATGGTATATGGCAATAGAGAATTGAAACTAGAAGGTTTTACTGATTCTGGTTTTCAGTCCGATAAAGATGACTTTAAATCCATGTCTGGTTACTTGTTTACTCTGAATGGAGCAACAGTTAGTTGGAAAAGTTCCAAACAAGAAACGATTGCTGACTCTACAGCAGAGGCTGAATATATTGTTGCATCTGATGCTGCAAAGGAAGCTGTTTGGATAAGGAACTTCATTCAAGGGTTGGGTGTAGTACCATCTGTTGTTGATCCAATAACGATTTATTGTGATAACAATGGGGCTATTGCGCAAGAAAAGGAACCAAGATCTCATCAAAGATCCAAACACATTATGAGACGATACCATTTGATTAGAGAAATCATTGGTAGAGGAGACGTCGTAATGGAGCGAGTCGACTCAGCAGAAAATATAGCAGATCCCTTAACTAAGCCTTTATCACAGAAAGTGTTTGAAGGACATCTTGAGAAGATGGGTCTAAGATACATGAGTGATTGGAACTAGGGCAAGTGGGAGATTGTTGGAGTAGTATACCCGGCGTTCCAATCGAATTGGACGTATTCTACTTGTAAATACAATCTATTGGAATTATATTAAATAATAAGGCATTACTTTATTTTAAGAGTAAGCATTTATCAAATATTTGCACTTAAGATAAAATCCCTAGATCACTTATAGCTATAAGATATGGTTGCGCATAGAGATGGTGATCATGGAACATATCTTGAAAGTTGTGATCTTAAATACTGTTCCAAGTCGTTGGATATTTCGAGATGGGATATCAAATAAATCCGGAAAAGACTTGCACATAGTATGTATGCTTATTGGATAAGAATGTTGCATTCCATCAACATTAGCGTGAGACGCAAATACATATATGTGGGTGCTTGTTAGAGAACAAGTTCACTGAACATGACCATATGAAAATTCTTAATGAAATTTTATCATGTCGAATAAGAATTTTCATGTTACAATAGTACATGATTAATCCTTAGACTTGAGGCACGATGGTAACTTTGTGCATATTATATTTTACATTGATTTATCCTTTTGATTGCTAGAACAATCGTATAAAAGGATATTTTGGGTATTATATTAATATGTATGGAAGTTTGTCAGTAGCCAACAAAGGATTCGACACTTATGAAGATAAGTGAATTTCCTATGTGTTTCATAGTTAGTAATTCAAAGTCCTTGGCCAAGGCGGAATGAATAGAGATTCATAAATGAATTACTAAACTTGAAATGGAATCGTAGTTATTAAATCAATTTGGGTTTCGATAAAATCATACCCAATGATTTAATCGGAAAATTGGATGTCGAAAGGATTTTACATGTATGGATTTGTAATCGAAATAGGTTTACTCGCTATTCACTTAATACTAGATTCATGCTACTTGCTAGATGTTCCCATGATATGTGGGTTCTTGAATTAAAGAGTTAATTCAAGAATAAGAGTTAATATGAATAACTCAAATTACAAAGAGTTGTAAACCCACTACTAGTATTAATTGTGAACCTAAAAGGTCACACCAATTTTTGAATGAAGGTAAAATTCAAATAGTATTTCTAAAGAGTTAGAATTTATTGACAAATCTAATTTGATTAGATATCAATTAAAGGAATATATTAAATTAATAAATTACATTGATTAATTGAATTTTGGATATTAATTTAGTAATTAATAGAATTACTAATTAATAGTTGGAATTTAAAATTGGATTTTAAATTTCAAATGCAAATAATAATATGATTATTAAATAAGGAAATTGGAAGAAAAGATTAAAATAATAAAGTCTTGAAAAATGTTTTCAAGAATTATTATTTTATTATTTTATCTTTAATATGATTAAAGATTCAAATAATTGAGAGACAAAATAATGGTGGTTGATGGTGGTTATAAACCACTCCACATTATTAATTACCAGTCAATATTTGGTATGATAATTTAAATAAAATCTGATTTTATTTAAAATAAATAATTATCAAATATTGATTATTTTTTGCTAAAATATTTAGTATAAATAGGTGCAAAATGTTTGCACATAAATTTCTAAGTTTTTCTAAGTTCTTCCAAAGAGAAAAATCATCCAAATAGTTGAGTGATAAAACAAGAATGAGTTCTTGTAAAATTTCCTTATAAATATATATATATTCTATACTTATTGAAAAACCGAGTAGTTTCTACTAGCGAAGAAACTATAGTCGGAACCGGAGTTCAAAAGGTGGATACTCTTAGAAGGAAGATATTTGAATTCCTAAAGAGAGTAACATCAAGAAGTGGACGTTACCAAACCGGGAATTGATTTCCTCATACATCGTCGGTTTTGAAGGAGTTCAAGAACAAAGGTAATTTTTGAAATTACTTACTACAAATAATAATTTGTATTATTACATGTTTTTAAATGATGACGATTCGTACATTCGCTATATGTACGTATGGGTTGAGTATTTATATGATAAATACTTGTTTTTGAAACATATTTTTCCGCTGCGTATAACCGGTACGATACAGGCGAAACCAACAGTTTTGATATCCGTAGTCTGAGAAAAACTAACTTGAGTGTCGGAGGTCCAAGCCGGAGATCTTTCTTCTCTGGCCCAGGCTTCTTTGCAGGTATTGAGTGCGATTAACCAGTACGAAGAACGAGATTCTGAAGATCCTAACCGGTCTAAGGTATCAATTTCATACCAAAAATAATAAAATTTTAATTTATTAATACACCATAAAATAATCATTTTATTATTTTTCCATAAATTTTAAGTTACTTTTAAGAAATATTATAAAATATTAGTTTTCAATTTAAATAGATCATAAAAAAATCGAATGTTATTATGTTAGTTAAAATAGGGAATATTAAAGAACATCATTATTTAATGTAATAAAATGATTTTGTGCTTCATAAAGTAGAAAATAATACATTTCTACATCAATTCTAAATTATTAATTATATGAATTGAAAATAATTGAAAAATTAATAAACGTGAAACGCCGACTTTATAAATGTGAATATAATCACAATACAATAAAATTTATTTTGGTGAAAACAAAAGAATAAAATTTGTGAAGTTGTATATAATATCACATTTATATATATTTAATTTTAAAAAATATAATAAAAAATATATCTTTTGGAAAATTTAGTCTAAAAATAAGGACACCATTTGAATTAATTATCATTTTGTTGGTTTTTTTTTATTTCAACGAGTATAATACTCGTGTACTACACGGGTACTTAAATATAGTAATATTTGTACAATACAAATGTATAATATTTTACATTTTTATTGTGAAATTACGTACGATTAATCTGCAACAATAATAATATATTGTAACATGATATGAGTAAGAGAAGATAGATAGATAAGTATTATATGAGTATTATTTATTGATAATGGTTGAATATATTAAATTTGGATTATCCTTAGTTATAAATCATATCCAAAATTACAATTATTTTATAATGAGTGAAATAAATATATAAACCATATATTAAATTGTCATATACTATAGAAGAAAAGAAAAAATAATTATTAAAATTAAAAAGTATTTTTATAATAATATATATATTTTTCTTTACCGCATGTTTTTTTTTTTTTTTACCGCATGAGCTATTATATATATACTGTAGATATAATAATTGGAGATGGTGTAGCCTAATCGCCATCTGCAACGTGTACATCCTGGGGAGTAGTGGTCAAACTTATCCGCAACTCCACCGGATGAACCTCCCATTAGACTATCTTTATTCATAACCCAACCCAACCCAACCCAACTCAATTCTTTTAATAAAATACTCATTTCTCTCTCCTCCACTTACACAACCCACAACCCAATTCTATTTCTACTTTTATCCATGACATCAACCCAACCTAATATTTTTTCTTTTCACTTTATTTTTAAATAAAATTAGATATATTAATTTGGTTGTGAAATTGTATCAATATTATACTCTATTTATAGAGAAAAAAAAATATGAATTTTGATATAATTTTTATTTATTTTTTATTTAAAATTATTTACAATATTAT